TGGAACACCCAAGCGAGTTGTTAGATATGGCAATTGGTAGGGAACCTTCAGCCGGACTCCTTAAATAGGTAATATAGAAAAGTTACACATGTATCCAATTGTATACTCTCCTGTAGTGGTTTATTGAACCACAATACCAATAAGTGATTAATAAAAGTCAAAAGACCAAAGAGATCACCTTAATACCAAAAAAAAAAAAAAACAGATCTCACAATATAGTTAATAAAGTGATACTTACTTTTAGTACTTGCTCAAATTCAACACCTTTTTTGAGTACTAACCCATTTGATGTTACATAAAAGACTTTTGTCTACTCTGTAAATAAAGAATTTTAGAATTAAAATTCTCTGTAGTACAACAGTAGCTGATATTTATGTTAATATTACTGTTAGATTGTTTCTTTCCTTAAGTTGTTCATTTTGCTTTTGTTCTTGCTTTAGCATAAATGTTTATAAAAAAACCTCTTTATTATAATACTAAGTATAATAAAACATTAGCAATAAAAATATATTATCTTGAATTTGCTAAAAATACTAATTTGTTTTAAAAATAAACTTACTAGTAAACTGCTCAACTTTAAAAATCTTTTTAAGCTAATTAATTCTTTATTTATTTAATCTACAAAATTGTTAAATTTTATAATAAATAGTTTGCTTATACTATATATTAAATTAATTGATTAAAATTTTTACTTAATTTTTTTTTAGATGCTACTACTCTTGATTTTCAATGATTATTATAATAATATTTTACATATGTGTTAATAATTCAATTTATTAATTTATAACAATAAGAATATTAATTAATCTATTTAAATATTTTGTCTCTATGATCAATAATAAAGATTTGTTATAAGTCATAAATGAATTTATTTAAATTTAATTATTTAAATTAATTTATGTGACATTAAAGATAAAACTAATGAATTTCAACAGCAAAAATCAGTAATGTTAGATGTATATTAAAACTGATAAAAAATTATATCTATTACAATTAATTTATAATTGATCACAGTTAAGAGAAATTTACTTTAGATCAGGTACTGTCTTTACTATAGTGAATTTCAAGTTTAGGATTAACAAACTAAATCAAAGAAATAAGTTTATTTAAAAATTTATATAAAACTATACAAAGATACTTCCTTGTTTCTTATACAGTAACTTTAGAATTCTAAAATAGTCATAACTACCTAACTTTTTTAAAATAAAATTTATTATATATTTTTTTTCTTTAAAATATTTATATTTATGTATTACAATTTAAATTTTCTTTAGATTACATATTTATTTTTTTCATTCTCTATCATATCAATATCCAAAAATTCTTTAAATAAAGTTCCAAAGATTATTTATTAAAAAAACCTCAAACAATAATAACATTATTGAATGAAAAAAATAATAATAAGTTTAATGCCTGCCTTGTGCTCACAGAGTATATAATTTAATATAATAACTGCATAATGCAGTTGCACTAGAAACCAGGAATGAAAGCAAATATAGTAGTTAACAAATAGTCTAAGTAACATACAAATAAGAACTAATCTAACATCGCACTAATATATTGCAAAGCATTTGATAGACACTATAAGTAGTCAACTGCATTAACTAATCAAACAAAAATTTATAAGGCATCATATAATAAATTGTCTTTGATGATCAGTGATTATCATATCCTATGAAAAAGACAAAAAATGCCAAATATCAGATAAATATGCAAATTAATTTGCACTGGGTTACTAATTTTTGCGTCTAAAATTCATTTTTTACTATGGTTAGTTATCGCAACTACAACATTGCTTACGGTTTCGTTTTTTTTGTATTCAAATTATACTCTGTGATTACATATCTGAATGCACGTGTATATCCATTGATCTATATGCATGATGAATTCATGTGTGAAAAATAACCAAAATTTGATGAATAAGTCACACGGACCAATCAAACTTAAGATTTTGCGGATGGATCTCGCTTAAAGCACCTTATAAGTCAAACACTTCGTGATTTTATCACTCCATTCCTGGTATAAAATTTTTTGACGAAAATCATTACTGTTCCAGTCAAAAAGGAAAAGTGGCGAATCACGAATAAAGGTATCCAATAAATATGACGTTTCATAGGTTTAAATGTAAAGGATATTCGGCAATCAGAAAAAAAAAATTAGAGAGGAGTGGAATTTACAAATAAGGGCCCTAATTTTTAAAAAATATTGCATATAAGGGCCAAAATAACAGTGACATTATTCAAGTCTGGCTTGATCGTTATTAGCATAAGAAATATTTGCATCATTAAATAGTTATTAAGTACATAAAAAATGTAATGATCGATTGTAATAATTATAAACGAGAAAAGAAATTTTTTAAATTTAATAAATTTTATTTTCTTGTATAAAATCGGTTATTGTTATAATAAACCACTATGATATCAAGTAAAACACTGTGAATTGGAATAACATTTACTAAGATGAAGATAATTGATCTGCTTTTGAGAGTTACTTTGTTGAAATTTCATCGTCTTATAATAATTGTGCTAGCTTAACACTACTTTTTATACAATATTTAAGCGAAAATGATTGTAGCCAACGTTTCATTTATTTTTTTATCTAATAATTGATATCTAGATAACTCTAAATGCCTATAATAAAACAACCGATAATCCTATAATCATGATTTTGCAATTGTCATAAGTCAAATGGTCAGAGTACTTTGTGACGCTGTAGTTCTGTGATATCGTTTTTCATCCATCAATAGACTTAGGTCCCTATGTAATACTTTTTTAAAAATTAGGCCCTCATGTATAATTATTTTTAATTTGAGCCCGAATTTGTAATTATTTTCACTTTTCAGGCCCTTATTTGTAAATTCCCCTAAAATTAATAAATCCACAAATTATATATTTAATCTATATAATTGACAATTTATTCAGTCAAAATAAAAAAAAAACCATTAATGACATTTCAGTTAAACAATTCAAATTGATTCAAAGATATCAAATAAAAATATATAAAAAATTTTAAAAGTTAATTTCCTGACATTGGAAACAATATTTTTGGTTTTTTTTCTAAACCTGTTTATATTAGTATTAAAATCAAAACAAAGAAATTGAATAAAATAAAATGCCTACTTTTGGATAGGGTTGCGCCAATTCAGAGTTTCTGAGCAGGATCGCTTTAACACCGGACAAAACCTCTCTCTAAAATACGGTCCCGGTTCTGATTCTGGGATATAACAGCTGTTCTCAAAAATATGACGATTGCTCTCTAGGATATGGTTCCAACTCTAGTTTTTTCTCTAGAGTAAGATGCCTCCATTTCTAATTGAGATCGCACATTCAATAACTATATAACCAAGCAATAATAAAATATTTAATCAATAACGATATTAAAAGTTAGTAAAAAGCTAATAATATTAATTTTGTCGTTATATTGATTTAAACGCTGATTGGATATGTATCACGTGAGCGGAACCCAAGACATTTTGTCGGCCAAGTTAAGCTTGACCCGGGTCAAATTAATCAATTAAAAACCCCGGCCGGCATCAACATTATTCCGGCCCGCACCAACCCGAAATTCTGCTAGGGGACATTTTAACACGGGTCAAGTTGACCTGTAACGTTTACATTTCCATAGTAAGCCCTCGCTACGCTTCGGACAATAAGGGTTCATAAAGTTGCTTAAAGAGTGTAGCTATTTAATTACAATTAGGACATGTTTTATTTATTTATTTATTTATTATTTTTTGCATTAGTTAATTTAAATTAGGAATTACATACAGAATGTCTAGTATTCAATAAGCTGACAGAAGAGTCCATAATGTTGATGTATCACGAAATTTACTATGCATAATTTCGAAAGTCTCACTTTTCGCTCATGATAATATATATTAATGAACATTTGCAATACCCAAGTCCAGATATATTAATAAAGTTACAGTGACAAAGAAAAATACAGAAATATTAATAAAGTTACAGCGACAAAGCACTCGCACTTAAAAAAAACGCAATGATCGTCACGTACTTTGATCGAAATAAAAACAAAGTTACAGCAATAAAAGACACAATCTAGTACATTTGTATAGTTAAATCAGCAAGCCTTATATATGATATATAAATATTGTGTTATGTGATGCATATCGTAATGAATTTCACGTGTTGCTGCATTTAAAGCGCTATCCAAAATTAGTTACCGTATCGCTGCATCGTCGCGAAATAACGCCCAGGGCGTTATTTCGAGACAAAATTTTAAACCGAACTATTAATTAATTTGGTCGAAGATTTTTTAAAAAATTTACTGTTAAATAAATATTAAAGTTTAAAAAAATCTTTGCCAAATTTAATTATTTACTCGTTTTAAATTGTTCTGTCTCGAAATAACGTCCTGGGCATTATTGCGCGACGATACGGTATGAAATTTTGCGGACGTACATTACGCACTTTATGATACGTACACGTACATGGTTCGTGATATTACATATCACTATGTTCGTGTAAAATAAGCTTAATTTCTACCGAGTAACCAGTATAACCCTTTTTACTGCATAGTAATTTGTCGGATAAGTATACATTATTGGGCAGACGACAAAAAATAACAGGCAATTTTTTTTTGTCAGAGTTAAGTCACTCCTTGTGCTGCGTAGCAGTACATGAGTGAAATTTACTCTAATGAAAAAAAAAATTCGCCTGTTATTTGTAGTACGTATGCTCAATAATGCTGTTATTGGATAGTTAATATGACCATGTGAAATTTTTTCTGTGATGTTTTCAAAACTGATTACGTATTTCATGCAAAAAATATCATGGCAAAAAAATTCACATTCTCATATGAAATGTCGAATAACTAACACATACGTACGTAAGTACAATTCATAATTGTGCTCAGTTATGGACACGAAAATTTTTTGAAATTTAATAAGAAAATTTAATCTTAGCAATAAGAAATAATAGGTCACGAATAAAAATCTGGTTGGATAATCATGTGTTACGCTAGATCTTTATTTTATACTAAGGCTAAACGAATTGATCATTATTTTGTTGGCTTGAAATTGTACCGTAGGACGGAGAGTGTACGCTATTAATACTATCCGGCATGTTCTTATATATATAGTACATAATATAGAAAAGACCCTATATAGAGAAGGACTAAAATTAGCAAAAATAATGTTTGCATAATAATAAAAAAATTTTTACAAACCCATATAAGGATATCAGCTACGCCTGATGATACATCTGCAGTTAACTTGTCATAGAGTAAAGTGTATTTACAATTTATAAAATCCAAATATGTATCGTGTTCGATTCTTTTACAAATAGCTTCGGGATCAAAATTATCAGGGATAAACCAGCTGCAAACATAAACTACAACAAATCCTGCAAAAGCAGCAAGAAGCACTACAAATAATGATAATAAATGCATTATTATTTTTTTTAAATAAATTATAAGAATAATAATAAAAATTTTGCGAACCTTCGATATCGCTGCCAATCATGCTACCAGAAAGTATGAATATCAAAGCAATGAGCTCAACAATACAAACAATCAATTGAAGTATGATATCAATCTCTGTAGAAACCATTATGCCAACATAAGTATAGTAATAAATAGCGACAATGTTGCAAATCTATGAGAAAGAAATTATAAGTATCCAAATTGTCACAAATAAATTTATTTTTTTTTAAAAAGTAAGAAATTACAATTGCAAGGCCAGTCACAACAAAAAGACCCAATCTAAATAACAAAATTATATGTAAAATTATTCAAAAGTAGTAAATTCAAAGTTTTAACATAATTCTTACCTTTTAACGTAATAAATATTCATGGTGAAAAAAAATAATCAAACAAGATAACATGAATAATTTAGAGTTGAGTCCTTTCTTATATGTCAAATGTTTATGGACTCAATTCTCCGAAAACCACTTTACCGACATATCTGATATTAGGTTTAATTTAGAGTTAGTGCTTTATTTTCAGTGGAATGACTATCGGAGAACCATACCATATTTCAATTGAGATCGTAATTCGGAAATGCTACAAATGGTTAAAGGATTAACGAAATTTATGTGGATTTGGAATTTCTTTGTATAAACCTAACCTTAAAATCTCAACAAATTTCAAACCTACTTAAATTTCTTTCCTACTTATACCGTATATATTTGTACTTAGTGGAACAAATGCATGTACACTTACGCGTTTGTTGACCTTCATATGCTCTGAACACATAATACCAACTTAGTATATTAAACATTTTTATATTTGAATTATTAGATAAATAAATTTCTATTATTAGGATTTCGAAATTTTAGAAACTCATTATTTTATTACAAAAGTAAAGTTTCTCTATTCTATTAATTTTTATTACATATAACAAAATAACCCAAGTTTTTATTAATTATTCTAGCTAGTCAAATAATTTTTGCTGTTCTAATAAATTTAAATATTTCAATGACTTTAATTATTTCAATAATTTTAATCATTTCAATAATTTCAACTATTCTAATAATCTCAGTTATTTTAATAATTCCAGTTATTCTATTTGCTAATAATTCTAATTGACTTTCGTATTTCGATCAGAAGCTTTTAGAGCTTGTACTATGTTGATGACTGGTTGATCTTGTATATCGATATAAATTTGGGTACAATAGTTGAGGAGGTGCAGGTAACTTGCCGTAAATTTGCCAAAAATACCGTAACTTATTATAAGTATTACATATTACTGATGTAGTTACGGCATCATTGTGACAATTCGCCTGCATTACTAATGTACATTTACACGATGTGATTCATCTTAAAGTATCTTAACGTATCTAATTTTGGGTTTACCGATAAAGATACGATTGTATTATTCACTTATCAAGATTAATAAACAGTCATTTTTTTTAATTTATAACACATTTCTTATTCTATTGAGTTGTCGTAAAACCATTTCATGAAAATTGCGTTTCCTATTTGAAGGTCAAAGAAATATTAATCTACAAGTCTTTCGGGATCAAAGTTTCCTTGCTTCCTTAACTTGATACATTTCTGGATTCCTGTGGTAGGATCTGATCAAAGGTATATACAATAATAGAAATCTTTTACGAATAAATTGATTTACTGTAAGTTCCAATCATATCCCCACCTATGTTATTACTATAACAGTACCCACTCTTGATTAAGTACTCATGGATATATTGCCATATATAATACCAGTATAGGTGACCCCTTTAATAAATGTATTATGAATCACTCTGTTTTACAGGTATATTTGCCTGCAATTTGTATTTTCTCGACAAATTATTAATCCAAGGGGATATGGTATCATAAGAAGGCTAAATCATTTAATTTTATAATCTTCGAAAAATGTTATTCTTTTTAGCACACGGTCTCTCTATCCTTTTATTTCTTTCGTTCACTTTTTGTAGAGTCCTTTGAATTCTCGATCTTGTACTACCTCAAAATGTCCGACGTGTATTGATATTAATAATATTAGGACTTTTGATATACGTACTTATTTATATTGCCGGCAGAACTGTGCAAGCAATCTTGGGGGGGCTAAGGTCACCTATACTGCAAGAGATCACAATTTCTTATAACATAAACAATTTGTTCATATTGTTCTGTATAAAATTAAATTGGATTTTCAATCATACAATAACTATAAATTTAAACTATTCAAGTAATATGAATATTCAACATTTGAATCAAGCCAGACTTTTTAAGCCCTCTCACAGATACGTATAAATCGGAATAAATTTAATCGGTAACAATCAAAAAGTTCTTGAACGATATTCATGACTAGAGTTCCAATCCGTATTAATCCGTCATCCATTATTCAACATGCAATATTCGGTTATTTATCTTTTTAAATCGGTTACCCAAATGGTTTAACCGAATTATTCGATGTATTAGGGACTACAAATTTCTAAGGTAACCAACAATATAAATTAGAGAAATTCTATTTCCATCCACATGTAAATTGAATGTCCCTAACTTATATTATTGATTACCTTAGAACTCATAATTGTCAAATGAATTTATATTATTTTTACTTTAGCACTTGTAGTTGAAAACGATTTTATGTTTATATTGTGTTACTTTAGAACTTTTAATTGTCAAATGAATCCGAATAATTTATGGGCCAACTATTGAATATCCAATATGAATTGGAACTCTAACTCATGATAAATGAATAAGGAATAGAGTTTCAATCTATTTTAGGTAAAATTTATCAGATAATAAGATAACCACATATTGATTATCATTTTTATAATATGTGATATGATTAAAAACCATAGGGCTTTCAGATTAGAGTGTCCAGACTCATGCGATTTCAGGGATTTTTCATTGTTTAAACAATGAAAATTCCCTGAAATCGAGAGTCGTTAGATTAGGAAACAAAAAAAAAATGGATTATTCTGAATTATTTCTGACAATTTTTTTGAATATTACAATATCGGATCATTTTCATATTTTTAACTTAAAAAGAAAGCAAGAACAAAATTTTAATCAAATATATTTTCAAAAGATACAAATTCACTCTTAATATCTGGAATTATTCGCTTCTCTAAATGTACGTCAAGAAAGCACCAATTTATAGATATCTCTGGATATGTTGGGATTATATGCGAAATAGTGTTAAGGCGTTTTTGACCAGTATGATAGTTATTTAAGGAACCTGGTCGTCTTTAAAGAGTTTATCTTTCTTTTCGCTATCGCTCGCCTTGTGTTATGGCTGGCTCTATCTCCCACCCTTTCCCTTCCTAGCGTCTTATCCATAGTATGATGTGTATTATGACTGGTAAATTTAAAGGAAGGCTCTACGGCTGTTTCAACAGCACAAAGACCTCCAGAATAGGCTCCGCAGCTGCAGTAGTGATGCAAGGACCTGTACATACCTCGTTGTATAGTCAAGTTTATCTTAATAGTACAATAGGTTCTCACCGATTCTTAGTCAGGGTTATTAATTTTACGTAAATTACCGTAAATTACTTATGGTTTTGGCAATTTGTTGGTAATCTAACAACCTTATGAAAGTCACGTGTGTTACGCGGTTAGATGTATACATGGGTGCCTAAATTCAGAGGGATTTACGGCATTATATTTTCGGCACACTACCTCAAAATGCCTATATGTCGAAAATTTTTTGGCTGCCTAAAATTATTTTTGGTTGTTTAATTACTTTCATTGGCACCAGAATTCAGGGCGGTCCTAGACATACGATAAGTAAAGCATATACAGTGAAACCTCCATAAATGCACCCTCTATAAGTGCACATCTTCTCTAAATGCACGCTTAAATTCGGGCTCAAATCTATATATGCCCACCATAAATGCACTTTTTCTTATCATTTTCTAAGTGCATGTTGTTAAAGTTTGGTTCCGAGAGTGTGCACTTATGGGATTTTACTGTAATATTAGACTCGATAATAAACGAACAAATTCTTTGTTACTTATCATGTGACCAACATTTCACCTTGTCATTTGTAAGAATATACAAATCTTACTCCAATTAGTTTGAATAAATACGATTGCATGTGAATGTATAGCATACGTAGTGATAACGCAATTTCTATAAATAGGTAGAAACAGGAATAATTCAAGCCTTAAGTTTATTCAATAATCCATTATGGGATTATCATCCTTAATTGGGGACTTTATAAAACGAATATTCATCAATCTTGATCCAGATAAATGATATTACTTTGATTTAGGGTTCTGCAAGTGCCATACATGTACTATTAAAAATAGTGCCTGGCATTATATTTTAATAGTGCCCGTGTATGGCACTTGCAGAACCCTACTTTTAATTTGTACAATTTTGAATATCTAGAATCGCCTAAATTTTAACAAATCATTATAGCATGTGAATGTATAGCTAAATTGTTGCATAGTGATAACACAATTTTTATAAATAGGTAGAAACAGGAATAATTCAAACCTAAAGTTTATTTAATAATTTAGTAATCCTTAATTGTACTTTATAAAACGAATACGTACTATTAATCTTTGTAGGCACTGATACAGATAAATAATATGTATTACTTTGATTTATGATTCTGCAAGTGTTGGACATATACTATTAAAAATAGTGTCTGGTACTATATTTTAATAGTACCCATGTCTGGCACTTGCAGAACCTTACTTTGATTATTATTTAATTTGCAACATCATTGTACAATTTTGAATATCTTCAACAATTTCTCTTAGATAAAAAATATGAAAAATCGTCTAAATATTAACAAATTAACTAAATGATATTATTTATTTGCATGTTGATACTTTACCTGCGGTATTTCAGTATAATACTTATTATATAGTCAGGAAACTATACATCCCTATGCGTTATTTATTTACCTGTGCATTGTTTTAAGACGCCTATATACAATTCAGTAAATTTAAAACTTTAACTCTCTATATAGATAATGTAAACTTGTAAAATATTGAAACCAAATTTCTTGAATTATTGATCTCAATAAAGTAAAAAGAATCTATCGTTTTGTATTGAAAAAATATACTACAAATAACATATATACTTATAGTATTAATAACTATTCTATACATATTAAAATAAGTCATTATTGAAAATAATATTTTTAGTATATCTTCAATAAATTATTTAAAGTTTTTATATTTCTTGTATATATAATGTTATTTTGGTATGCATATAGGCGTTATATTAAACCAAATATAAAGTTTTAAAGAATATGATTTCTATAATAATGTCTATAAGAATTATTTTGCATTATAATTAAATATATATGTATTATAAATTATTTTAGTTAGTTCTAGCTTGCTTTTAGTATACGTATTTTTTGTATATAAGTGTTTCTTTTTGCTATCTCTAAGTTATAAATGTGTATCTATTGATATAAATTTTATAGAATTCATACAAATTTCTAAAAATACAAACAATCGTAATTATGGATGATTCTGGTGATTTAACATCAGAGATTATCGAAAACCCAGATCATAATATTCATATCAGTAAAAATCAAAGAAAAAGAGGCCGTCCAAAAAATATACTTTGGGAACACTTTAATGAAATTAATCCACATGGTGATGGTCACAAAGGTTGGGAATGTTCATACTGTAATTAACAAAACCTACGTGCATCTGACACAAATATGAATACACACTTGGCTTTAAATTGTAAAAAAGTTCCTTTCAATATTAAGCAAGAACTTTTGCAAAAATTTCCCATACCAAACCAAAAAAGAAAAACCAAATTAGCATTAGATATTATTACTGGTACACAACCACAAATTGATAATAAATTTCTAGTTGTTAACAATATGGATCCCGGACAAGAAGAATTGTGTCATAAAGCATTAACTCAATTTTTTGTATGCTGTGGAATTCCTTTTTGGATCGTTGAGCATCCATTTTTTTTAGATTTTTGCAAAAATTTATGTATTTCATATAAACCACCTGATCGAAAAACTTTAAGTAATGATTGGCTTAATTTTGAAACAGCCCGAGTTACAGTAGCTATGGAAAGAGAACTTAAAAATGAAAAAAATCTTAAATCAGGTAATATTTATAAATGAATACTAACTATATATAATATAATTTAATAAATTTATATTAA